CTATCTATCTATCTATCTATCTATCTATCTATCTATCTATCTATCTATCTATCTATCTAGTTTAGCACTAAATATTAGCCAGTTTCTATGTGAGGCTCCTTCTATGTGAGCTTTCTTCTTTTACCTGACTAATGGTGGTAACAATTTTTGCCCCAATCTTTGGTTAAAACTACCTCTGTTCTGTCCTTATACTACTAACCTAGAATTTGCAATAAAGTAATAACTCAGTGGATTTTTGTGTTCAGAATCAGTAATAAGCTAGAAATAAAATTGTTAATGATGAAAAAAAATGTTTTATAGATTTGTAAGAAGACTTTGCTTGATTCTTTTAGGCTGGTGTTAATAAGGTTGTGAGTAAACACCTTCAGAGAAAGCTCAATTCTCAACTTGCTGGAATCAGAAAGGAAATGGGAATGATATACGCCACATTTGGAAAATGTCTTGATGAAGGAGTTGAAATATCCAAAAATTCATGTGACCAAATCCTGAAGTCCATCTTGCATCTTGCAGTATGTACTGTAGTCTCATAGTTATAAAACGTGTTTTTTTTCTTCTTCTCTTGATATTGTTTCGGCATTTTTTCCAGAGAAAGAGCGGAAGTGCCCAATATAATATCATGAAGAATGCTGTGAAAAATGGTGGCATCCACCTACCTAAAAAGGGGAAAGAAATAAATTTCAACATGAAATTATCTGCATCACTGAATAAGAGCATTGACGAAGAATTCAGAAAGACCTTCCCGTAAGAGCTCCATTAACACAGTGACAAAATACATAATTATAAGCATTACACAATACAACTACAATATTACACTGATATCAAGAGTTTAGTGTACTGACAATTCAAATGTGTTGACATTTTTCAGTGTTGAAGGAAACTGTGGTCCCTTTAATGGAGTGATCAATACATTTTCACTTGATACTGAAAAATTACAAGAAAAGTACAAAGATGCAGAACTGCAGTTGATATTTCTCAAGACAGAGGTAATTCATCAGAAAAATAAAATTTTGCTCTTATATACATTAAACTAGAAATGCTCTAAATATTCAGTCTAAAAAGAAGAGGCATTATGTGACTGGTTTACATGGTTGACTACATTCTACTTAGGAGGAAAAGCTCAAGAAAAAACTGACTAAAATGACTCGTGACGGAAAGAAAGAAGTCTACATCAGTCTAACAAAGAAAGTTGAAGAAATTATGCAAGAGTGCTATAGAGGTAAGAAAGACCAGTGATTTTTCCCATCAAAAAATGTATGCTATAACTAATGGATTGGAGAAAACTAAATCCTCTCTTTTGCAGAAGCAGCACAGTTTCAAGGAAAGAACACACTACAGAACATCAGAGAAACTATAAAAAGACATGTAAACAATAACAAGGACACCATGTTTGCAAAAGCAAAAGACGTCATGATGGAGAAACTCATGAAATTGATGGTTTGTGTAGAAATTAAAACTGAGCTGTCTTTATACTTTTTTCTCCATAGTGTCCATAGTGAAAAAATATCAGTCAAATCCTGTCATTTTGAGTTTTTTTTTAGTTACTTTTTTTTTTTTTTTTATAGATTTTGTCAGTTTACAAGCACAAAGACTTATGGATATTACAACCAAAACACAGAGCTGCATCATTGTAAATTGAGATGAAAATTGTATTTTTTAACAAAAGATAAAGACTCTGCTAAGAAGGAAAAAGTGTTTTTTTTAAACCAGATTTTACACCCAGAGATGGACAATTATGTCCATCTTCCCTTTAAAAATAGCCTCTGTAAGACTGGGTGGAGAGTCTTTGAGCATTATCTTTGAAATTGCTGCACCAGTTTAATTTATATCTGGACACTGACTCTGATCCATAACATTAATATTTCTGTTGTATGTTACCATTCTCTTGACTTCAAAGTTGTCCTGTATTTACCTTTTTGTTAGCCTAGAATAAATTTAGGGCTGTTTCTGAGTGGCTGCTTAAAAGATCCATCGTAAGATTCATAAGCACTTTTAAGTTAGATTAAGTTGTGATTAGCGGTGGTTTCTGAAATCTATTCTCGCTAAGCGGGAAAAGTGTTTGAGAACAGATTTTACACTCATGGTTCTTTTTATGCTAAACTAGGTGGACATCCTGGGAGTTTTGGAAAAAGAAATGATGGAGTCCATCGAGCTGTCTGTCGAAGCTGAAGACGACTCCATTCCAGGTTAAGTTACACAATATCCTTTCCTCCCTCCCTCCCTTCCTCCCTCCCTCCCTCCCTCCTTCAATTTGCCGTAATTGTGAATGGTTTGTTAACATAACTGTGAATATATTACTATGAATGCTTTTTATGTGTCCACAAAAACTCTAACCAAATTAAATTTCTCTCTCAGATGTGTCCACGGCGCTTTCAATGGTAAAGCAACGCTGGGTTCAGCTGCACAGCATAAATTCATAAATACCCTAAAACAAACAACACTTTTTAATTATAGTACATTCTTTTGTAAATGCCAATGTTTGCAACTTTTTTTAAGCTTATGTTAACCATGGACAAAATGTAATTTTAGTTATTTTTCTTTATGACACTATGAATCTAGAATGATCCTTCTAGCGTTTGCAGTTATTTTCAATACTCTAGCACTTAGTTTCTTTCATCCTGTTACATATCCAGATATAAATGTAGCAATTGAACAGTTTTTGTGCAAACTTTATCAACTAAACACCTCCCTATTGATCAGAGTATCTAATTCTTTTAACCCATGTTTTTATTTATATATGTATATGTTTTGAACTGCCAACATTTTGTTGTTTCAGATAGGCGAATTGTTGTTCTGTTAGGAGTGAATAGTAATAATAATATTAGTCCACCAGTTTTAAATAATGATAGATTGTTATTCAAAACTGTGCTTTGAATTGAGGAGTTTACAAATGTTCTCATTTTTACAAATTTAACTCAGCCCAAACTGCTTCAGTTAGGCTCTGCAATGAGATTAATAAAGTGATACCAAATAATAGAGATTAGAATTAATATGCTAGAAGTGAATCAGCTAGATTCAAAGAGCTCCTATATATAAATTCTTATACATATATTGTAGTTTCTGAATATATGTCTCGTAAATTGAAAAAAAATGGCTTCTGTAATTTTACTGGAATTCCACTTTGTTCCTAAATCAAAGATTGTAAGCATGTCTTCTGTAATCTAAAATGTATTTGAAAAGCAAATAAAAAAAGTAATCTTCATTTTCAGTCATAGATTTTTTTCCTTAAATAAGCTACATTGTGTTTATTATTATTTTAGAGCCGAACAAATACACGTAATTGAAGGTTAATGTGTACAAACAGCTTGATAATTTTTGTTCCCCTATTTTCTTGAATAAAGGGAAAAACTCCTGCGTTTCATATATTACTCAAGCTAGTCAGGAAAGTATGCAAATAGATCGTACTGGAGGGATGAAGAAAAGACAAAAACTAGACAAAGAGTTTTTCATTGCTGCTAACATTATAACTTTGACTAAAAGTAAAGGCACCTGACTAGATTAAAATTGCAAATGCTCAGACAGCGTAGTTTAGATCCCAGCTAAGTCACAAACAACCCGGCTGCATTTCTATTAAATTTTCAATGCCCGACAAACCTGTTGAGAAGCAATCTCTGGTAATTGGCATCTCCATAGTCAAAAACGTGGCATTAGAGACATCAGTGATCATAGACAAATTTCTGTCAGGGGCTAAAATGGGCCACATTAACCTTTGGCAAAAAAGAATTTGCCAGGGCTAAATGTAAAGGTCCTTCTCAAAATATCAGCATATTGTGATAAAGTTCCTTATTTTCCATCATGTAATGATAAAACTTGAACATTCATTTATTTTAGATTTATTGCACACTAACTGAAATATTTCAGGTCTTTTATTATCTTAATACAAAAGATTTTGGCATACTGTCTCACAAAATTAGCATACAATGAAAAAAATCTCTAAGCAAGCTATGTACCTAATCATCTGAATCAACAAATTAACTCTAAACACCTGCAAAAGACTCCTACAGTAAGGCCTTTAAAACTCCCAGCCTTGTTCATCACTCAAAACCTCAATCATGGGTAAGACTGCCGACCTGACTGCTGTCCAGAAGGCCATCATTGACACCCTCAAGCAAGAGGGTATGACACAAAGATATTTCTGAATGAATAGGCTGTTCCCAGAGTGCTGTATCAAGGCACCTCAGTGGGAAGTCTGTGGGAAGGAAAAAGTGTGGCAGAAAACGCTGCACAACGACAAGAGGTGACCGGACCCTGAGGAAGATTGTGGAGAAGGGCTGATTGTAGACCTTTGGGGACCTGCAGAAGCAGTGGACTGAGTCCGGAGCATAAACATCCAGAGCCACAGTGCACGGGCATGTGCAGGAAATGGGCCCCAGGTGCCGCATTCCCCAGGTCAAGCCACTTTTGAATCAGAAACAGCGGCAGAGGCGCCTGACCTGGGCTACAGAGAAGCAGCACTGGACTGTTGCTAAGTTTTGCATGTCATTTGGTAATCAAAGTGTCAGAGTCTGGAGGAAGACTGGGGAGAAGGAAATGCCAAAATGCCAACTCTCTTGACCTGAACCCCATAGAGAATCTGTAGGATATTGTGAAGAGAAAGTTGAAAGACGCAAGATCCAACACTCTGGATGAGCTAAAGGCTGCTATCGAAGCATCCTGGGCCTCCATAACCCCTCAGCAGTGCCACAGATTGATTGCCTCCATGCCACGCTGCATTGAAGCAGTCATTTCTGCAAAAGGATTCCCCACCAAATATTTAATGCATAACCGTACATAATTATTTGAAGGTTGACCTTTTTTGTATTAAGAACACTTTTCTTTTATTGGTCGGATGAAATATGCACATTTTGTGAGATAGGAATTTATGGTTTTCATGAGCTGTATGCCAAAATCTTCTGTATTAAGATAATAAAAGACCTGAAATATTTCACCTATTGTGCAATGAATCTAAAATATATGAATGTTCAAGTTTTATCATTATATTATGGAGAATAATCAACTTTTTCACAATATGCTAATATTCTGAGAAGGAGCTGTATGCCCGACACATGTTGTGTGAGCAGGTGTGAGATTTAAACACTAGAGACCAGTCTCTGTCAGGTTGAGCGAAGGTTTTAAGTGAACCAGAATGCAGAGATGGACGCTAAGGTGGTTTCTTGCAGATTTAATGTAGATCCAAAGGCAACAGAAGTAAAGTCCAAAAACAAAATACAGAAAACCAAAAACCAGGAGACAGGCTGAGGAGCACAAAAAAAATAACTACGAGAAACCAGCCAACAGTATCTAAAGATGAGGAGTATAAATTGGAGACCAACGTTCACTGAGTTTGAATTCAGGGGCTGCGTCCTCCGAAAGGCCAGATTTTTAAGGCGACAACATCATAGCGTTGAACTCGAAAAAAGAAAACTTAATCCGAACCAAAAGCATGACAGTTTCACTCAGATTGATTAGTTCCAAAACACCTGGTTATGCCTACTGGAGGCAACTAAAATGAATATATCATGAAAAGCAAGTCCTGAAAATCTTTCTATAAGCAAATAATTAAAGAAGATTTATTGAACATAAGATGAAGTTCCCTCGTACGTCAAAATTCAGGAACCCAGTAAATATCCAGAATTTTGTAGCAAGATTGCAATAATGTACCCATGTGCCGTTGACGTGATACCCTATGTTTGTGTGGAATATTAACAATATCTCCAACAAATTTCTATGCTATCAAAATATTTTTAAAATGTTTAGAAAAAGTATTTTCATCAGGTTTCATAATAATTTCATTTTGCAATTGATTAAAAATGTGCAAATGTCCACATAGAAAGAAGGCTTTCAAAGGTTGTCCTGTATTTTGGGTAGTTAAGACTGGATTTATATTGTTAAGATTGTTATTGAAACACAATATTGCAGACAAGGCATGTATATACTTACCTAAAGGTCTCCAGTGTCCATATGCTGAAAATAACTATGACTTCAATTTGAAGAAACATGTTTTTAATTCTATGTTTCAATACAAATAACCTAAAATTGTATAATAAATTATTTTAAAAATATGTATATTTTTGACAAAACCTAGATATAACAAAGCTTATGTCTACATTCATCACTTAATTATATATTTGTTTTATTTGTATCAAATTAATTAATATTCTTTATTGCATTATGGATATTTTGACAATCGGGTTCAGGGTTAAAAATCATGCTGATGTGCTCTTGAGGTGATTCAAAAGTTGTGCATAGAGAGTAATTTATAGCAGCAGTCTGTGATCTCAAGTTTCACCTGTGCTTTTATTGTGAGGTCCACTCTGAAGAAATTAGTAAACATTGAACAATCATTCCAGTCAATAAATAAGCTAAACATACCAATCGTTACAGTGGGGCCAAAATTATTCAGTCAGCCAATGATTGTTCAAGTTCTCCTACTTAGAATAATGAGTGAGGCCTATAATTTAGTCTATGAGAGAAGAAATGACCCAAATATATATATATATATATATATATATATATATATTTTTTTTTTTTTTTTTTTTTTTTTTTTTTTTTTTTTTCTCCCTGCCAGTTTTTTTTTTTTTCTGGCTCTCTCCAGAAATTTTTTTTTGAAGTTCGTAAATAATAGGTGCAATTGTAATTTAGTTTTCAAAATGGAAAAAAAAAACAACAACTAATTATTTAGGAAACAAAATTAACATTTCTTTTTATTTTCTTCTCAAATAAATTTTAGATTACATCAGAGTGATAACAGTAACTAGAGAAAATAAACAGAAAACAAGAACCGTAAAACAGACCATATATTCTAATATACATTAAACTATGTACTATGTATGTACTATATAATCTATATACTAAAAAGATTATTGAATTTTGCAAATAAAAAACACTAAAGCTCTTTAAAGTCTGAAATCAAGGTATGAAAAAAATGCTGTGGTAGCAAGTAACATGCACATTTTATCACTTAACATTGAACGGATATTTACATTTTAAAACAGTTTTAAAACATATATAATCAGAAAATTTAACATGAATGTAAAACAATATAAAAAGTCTTTAGAGGCTGCTAATCTACATTTATCATATCTGTGATCATTTCTACTAAATAATACCCTTCTGCAGACCTTAAATGATGCAGTTTTCAAAGACTGAATTGCATTCCTATTTTTAACTTTCTTTGAAAAAGTTGATTTCAAAGGACAGTTTTGAATACAAATTCAGCATTGGTCAATGGAAGCTTGCTTGAAATTTCTGTTAATCCTGCTGTAAAAAACAAAAATCAGTCTTAAAACAAGTAAAAAAAAAACAAAATGAATAGCCTGATCCATGAGGAGTTTCTAAGTTTATCAAGTCTTCACAAAGAGCTGTTCATGTTTTTCAATGATTTATGTCTGGGTATGTAATGCCAACAAAGGCACTGACTGTGTAAGAGTATTGGAAACAACTGTAATAATCCTAAGGCGAGTCAACCTTGCCATGTTCTTGCACAGTTTGCATGTTCCCAAACATTTCATATGTTACCATAATTGGCTAAAACCAAAGTTTGTTCGTCCAGGCACTAGCATTGAGTTACTGGAAGGTTCTGCTGAGGTCGACGCATCAATGCTGCTTTGCAGCTCATTATGGAGTTTCTTTAACATCGAAAGCTCTGTTGACACATCTGAGGAAGAAATTTTCTTTGGTTATGCAATTTTTGTAACAAATTAATTCTTAGTGGCATATTTACAGTTATAGTTACAAATCAGTCACACTCCTGGCAGCTGAAAAAAAAAACAGACTCTGCTCGTTACCTGCATAATGCAGTCCCTTTAGGGATGCATCTAAAATATGCAGGAGAGTAGATCCTTTTGATCAGGGTTAGAGTCCCCTGATTTTAGGTTTAACTCCCATAATCACATTAAGGCTGGACCTAACAACAATTATTCTTTCCAGTCAGAGAAATGTATTGGTCAAATTAGAAATATATTTATTTCTGAAGATGCCAGGTAGAGAGAGAGACAGACAGACAGACAGACAGACAGACAGACAGACAGACAGACAGACAGACAGACAGACAGACAGACATCTTTACCTGGAAATGGATAATGGATTGACAGCCCAATGGACTCCATCATGTTTTTTTCCAAAAGACCCACGATATCATCCTAATTTTGAATTGAAACAATTAGTAACACATGGTTGCAGAAACAATGATGGATCACAACTACTCATGAATGTTGGGATGGATCTCAAAGAAGGAGCCTGGAATTTATTTTAAGCTGAATAAAGCTAAATACAGCACAATCCTGTAAGTCATGAACATGGTTACCTGAATGGAGACACTACTAAGCTTTTTTGCAAGAATAGGAAAAATATTCCATCTATAGAAGTAAAACCTGTTACATTGCATGCCTTTCAAATTTGTATTTCTAAAAAAAAGAAGGGACAAAAATTACAACCAATTTCTTTACAATTTGTATGAAAATTGTCTTTATCTGCCCCTAAATAGTTTTGGTTATAACCTGATAAAATATGTAAATAACAAAGGTATATTTTTACGTTTTCAAGACACTGGGGAGAAAAATTAAAAACCAAGTGTAGAAAAAAACAAACCATCAATTTGTTGAGCTGTTCCATCATGACATCTTTGGCTTTTGCAAACACGGGGTTTTTGTCAATGTGCATACGTCTCTGTAATGTTTTCATTATGTTCGGCAGTGTGTTCTTTCCTCGAAACCGTGCTGCTTCTGCAAAATAGGTTGATTTTTGCCAACAATAACCAATAGTTAAGTAGCAATTACTGTCTCATGGTAGCGTTTTTCTTACCTCTGTAGGAGTCTTGCATAATTTCCTCAACTGTCTTTGTTAAAACTTTGTACATTAATCTTTTGCCCTCCTGAGTCATTTTACTAATTTTTGTCTTGAGCTTTTCCTCCTAAGGAAAATGTAGACAATTATAAATATCAACATTTAATAAATATGATTTCATCTTTTCAAATAAGTTATGAGCAAGGCCTGTCCTTGAGGGCTGTTGTGCAAGTTTAAGAGCTATCTTTTATCCTTTATCAACCCCACTTGAATCAAATAGCTTAATTGCATCCTCATTATGCATGTTGTCCACACTCCTGATGAGTTATCATTACTTTATTAATGAGTAATCATTACTTGATTTCTCGTCAGGTATGCCTGAGAAGAAACGTATTTGAATATGTCAGGACACCAGCTCTCGAGGACTGGAGCTGCCCATAACTATCTTAGAAAGACCATTTAATAAATTAGTGTAAAACTTAAATCTTCAAGGGCTACTATCCTACAACATTTGGGTGTGCACCTGGCCCAGCACGCCTGATTCAATGGCTGAATTATTTTCTCAGCATTCAGGCAGGAGCTGGATTCTAGAGCCCAGGCTATTTATGACGGCGAGTCCGACTATTTCTAGCCATCATCAATCAACCTGTCACACAAGCTTAGGGTAATTAGTTTGTGCAGAGTTTTTACCTATAAACCAGAATGTTGGTCAATTTAAATGCTGGGGATGCTGGGAATGCTCTGGAAGGCCTATGCCAGGGTCCTGGAGAGGAGAGTCTGGCTGATGATTGAACCTCTACTTCAGAAGTAGGGTCTGGTTTTCATCCTGACCATCTTCTCTACTGGTTTCTCAGGGGTGCTTGGGAATTTGCCCAACCGGTCTTTATGTGTTTTGTAACCTGGAAAAGGCATTCGACTGTGTGCCTCGTGGTGCACTGTGGGGGGTTTCAGAAATCCCAAGTTGGGGAGCGGGAGATCGATAGATGGATAGGCATGGCTGGTGATTTAATGTGAACTGGTCTGCTGTTGTGACGAGGGAGCTGATCAAAAAAAGGCAAAGCTCTTAACCTACTGTTGCTCTACATTCCTACCCGAACATATGGTCATGAAATCTAGACATGACCAAAACAACAAGTTCACAGATGCAATGGGAGGATGGATGCCTCCCTTTGGGGGATTTTAAAGCACTGGGAGATGGGCAAGTAGAAGACTCAGAACATGCTGGAGGGACTATGTCTCTTGGCAAAGATTTTACTACATGGTTGCACACATAATTTTGGCTTTTGACTAATCAGTGGAGAGATCAGTCACTCTCAATTTACAGCGAAAAAATAAAATTAACTATGGTAATTAAATGAAATTCACACATCCATCCGTCTTTCTCTTTCATCAGGGTCATATTGGGGCCAGTGCCTATCTCTGGCAGCCTAGGGGTGAGAGGAAGGATACAGCCTGGACAGATAACCAGTATGTCACGGGGCAACTCAAAGACACACAGAGACATGCAACCATGAGCCTCATTACCTGAGCTGTACAAGAGAAGCAGGGATCCAGTCACTCTTTGCCAAAGTGTCAAACACACATGGTAACTCTCAGCCTCTCTGCACTTGGTAATACTTACTGTCCCTATTGATCTCAGTGTGTTATTTTCAGTCCCCTTGTCTGAGAAAGCCTGGGCAAACTACTCTACTGAGTCACTTCCAAAATAGCAAGAAGTTAACTGGATTCATCTACTGGACTGGAACCACTCCATCTTCACTCCCTGCCAGCTCAGCAGCTACAAAAGCTCTCTCAAGATCACAGTTCACCTGGATGAACCAAACTCACCACCACCGACTTACAGCTACAAACCTGGATCTCACTCCATTAAACTTAATTATCTGATTTCCTTATCTCCTGGGAGTTTTCTCTTTTACATGTGGATCAGAGACCTTAACAAAACTATGACAGTAGTACCTAGAGAGAACTCACGCATGAACCAGGAGAACATGCAGACTCCATGCAGAGAGACCCTGGGCCAGGAATCACACATTTGTGAAAATACAGAACAAAAAGAACCATGTATGATCATACATCTTCTTCCAGCAAACGCTAGAGTTAATTTGGTATGACCCTTATTAGAATACCCCCTAATGCAAGTACACAGTGCATTTTCTTTACAAATGAGGCAATGCTAGTTAGTGTATGCTAATAAAATGATGCTCTGGGTGGGCCTCCCCCCACCCATAGCATGGTGGGGGGAGGCATGGGATGGCCTCATGCTTCACCAAGCAGAGCTGGAGGAGGTGCGTGGGGAGGGGAAAGTCTGGGTCTGCTGAGGTTGTGGCCCCCCAACCCAGTCCAGGATAAAGTAGAAGAAAAGTATGAGTACATTCAAGCAGGTTCTCCAGAGCCCTGCTATTGACTGATTCATGTATGTTGAAGCAGAGACATAGCTAACAGTTGCAAGACACTTGCCCTCAAGTTCTAAAATTTGATATATGTGATTTAGAGCATTTCTACATTTAGTATATAATAACATATTGCATTTTTTTATGAATTACCTTTGTCTTGAGAAATATCAGCAGCAGTTCTGAATCTTTGTACTTCTCTTTTAGTTTTTCGGTTTCAAGTGAAAACTTGTTGATCACTCCATGTAATTGACTGCAAATGCCATCATTGCTAAAACATTTCAACACATTATAATATTTGACATAATTTTCAATAGTTGTATCATATAATGTTAATGTGTTTATGTATTTTTTTGTATTTATAAAATTCTTACTGGACGTTTTTTCTGAATTCTTCATCAATACTCATTCTCAATTTTAAAGATAATTTTAAGATGAGATTTATTTCTTTCCCATTATTTGGTTTGTAGATGCCTCCATTTTTCAAGACATTCATTAGTGTGTTGCATTGGGCTGTGGCACTCTTCCCCTGTGGGGAAAAAAGACAAAAAAGCGGAAATTAAAAACTAACACAAAACACTATCAGATTAAATGTATATAACCATCAGATTACCTACTGCAGTACATAAAAAGGACTTCAGGATTCTTTCCAATGAATTTTGGTATATTTCAAATCCTTGATCAACACATTTTCCAAATGCTGTGTGGATCTCTTTCATTTCCTTTTTGATTGAATTAAGTTGATGGTTTAGGTTTGTCTCAAGGTCCTTACTCACATTATTAACACCAGCCTAAAAAAGAAACAAATATCCTTTATTCAAAGCTATATTACTTTTAGTTCCTTTTTAGTTTATAGCAATCTATTGATTATTTGATTACTCCATTTTTTTGGTTTGTGCTATAAAGACAGAAAAGAGGTAATTTTAACCAAATACCATGCCAAGAAATCCTAACCGGAATCCCAAACAACAGCTGTTTCAGGTTAAAGAAGAAACTAGCAGGAGCCTCATATAGAGATTGGATATCACTTAGCCATTGACTAACATAAAAAATATTCATGAACTCAGGATAAAGCTTACCACTTTTGTCAGACTGGCTCCTTGAATCAAAACCAGAATCCTTTGAGCTCTGGAAATAAAGCTGAATGTCTCTGAGGGACGATTATTCAAACCTTTTAGAAAATCTTGAAGCTTTGGGATTTCTTATAAAAGACAAATTTACATTACATTACATTAAAGTTTACATTAAAGTTAAATGGTATTGCTGAGGAAGTTATCTTTTCTTTGTTGGTTTCAACCTACCAGTTTCCTCTGGATTAAGGTGTTTACTTTTCAAAAACTCTGCAGCGCTCACTGTAAACACTTCAATACACTCATCTCTGCAATATGTCTGTGGAAAAAATGAGCATGTTAACTTATTTTGTCATTTTTTAAATATTATTAATATTAAATATGCTCATTGGCTACCTTAGTGGATGGTATCTTGTTTAATTGATTTTGCACTGCTTTCTTGGCCTCCATGTTTCTCTGAAGAATTGTGGTCTGAATATTAGCCTCCGAACTAAAAGAAAGCATTCACTGGTGAAACATTTTTCTGACATATATCACATCATGCTATTTAGTAGAAAGTAAAAAAGGTTTACATATGGTTTTCCTTAAAAAAGCATTTGATCATTTGATATATTTTATCTTTATGCTGTCAATTCAGAGTTGAGAATCAAAATAGGTTCCGAATTAGTTGTAATATTTCATGAATAGACTTTATTCAGGTTTCAATATGCATGAAAATTGTGCTTAATCATATAACAAAAAGAAGAAATCCAGCATGCATACATAAAAACTCATGTTGTTTTACTTAACGGGTGTTTATAAGATTCAATAAAGTGTTCATGTATTCCTTTAGTAGTATGTTTAATCATGTATGTTATTTTAAACCGTAAACTTTTTTTCTATTCAGTTTTCAGAAAAAACAAAAATTATTCATTTTTACAAACATTTATCAAACCTTATAAATTAACTGGTCTCTTCAGATCGGTTACTACCCATAAAAACACCCATAGAATATAGATATGTTAGTGTTGTGTTTGTTAAGATAATAATTTAAATTAAAATTAATGCCCAGGCTGAATCATTTTTAAATTCAAGCAACATTCCAGTTTTATTCTGTGAACTTACTCATCATTAGAACCTCCAACTACATCAGACTTGGTGCAGATAAAGTGAATGTGTCGAGTCTCGCCATCATTTCCAAGGCTTTTCAGGATCTCCCAGGATTCTTTATCAGCTGCTGCCCGGTTAATTTCAGACACAATCCACAACACAGAACACTTTCCAATAATCTGAAATGAAAATATAAATTGAAATATAACAGTCCTAGTAAAGAGTAAATAACATTGGAATCAACTCCATAGTATAAATATATAATTGACCTGTTTCCACATCGTGTCCCTGCTCTTGTTACGATCTCCATTTCCAGGAAGGTCCACCAGAGTTACATGCTGGAGAAAATCATTTCTTGGCACTTTGACAGTCACACACTTCACAAGTGGCCAATAGTACCTTTGTTTGTCTCTTTCTTCTCCTTGTCTTGTGTACTTAGCAATATTTTCTGATAACTCTTCCGCCTTGCAGAATATAGAGATAGAGTAAAACAAACCAGTGAGCAACGACTAAATGGAAGGAAATTTGAAGAATTGCTAAATTTGAAGAAATATGATTTCTTTTTTTAATTTTCATAACACTCTTGCTTTTTTAATAGGCTTAATGCTTTTAACTGCATTTTGTGGAGTTCCTGATGGTAAATAATCAATTTCCCAGCAAAAACCCTTTTAAGGTTGAATTAAAAAAACATGTCCTAATAAAAGGTAAAAGAAGGTTTTTGTTATTATCGATCATGGGGAGCCTATTTTGTGCTGTATAGATAAAATGATTGAGCAAGCATTTTTTCCCCTAAGAGAATCCAATACAAATACATTAATTTCTGTAAAGTCATCAAGGTCTTTATGTGTTAAAGACATGCCTGTATCTGGTCAAGTGGTTAGATCAATCAGGAATTATGGACAGATGTAGAACATCATGATTGTTAGCATAACAATGGAAATATATAGTGTTGCTAATTGTAAACTTTAGCAAATTGGTCCCAAATGCTGTTTAATTTGCTAAGTCCAACTTACAGATTCAAAAGTTAGAATCTTCTTTGTGGACTGAAGAAACTCTGGAATTTCACTGAAGTTGTTGATATCCATGAGTTGTGATGATATTTGTTTCCATTCTTCTCCATACACTGCTGAGATCTTCTCAAAAAGGTCATGGCGGCGATCATTATCATTATCATCATCATCATCATCTTCATCATCCCTCTCCTGCTCTCCATCATTTTCAAGAAAGTGATCTACTGTAACCAACTCATCTTCCCACTCCTGAAAAGAAATATGTTTGATAAGTTTCAGATGCATAACCCTCCAATACTTTACCAAGAATACAAAGAACAGATTAACATCTTTATTTACCTCTTTGGTGATAAACTCTATTTCCGCTTCATAGTTTGAGTTGTGCATATTTGACTCCA